ACGAGGGTGCAAAGTCTGCACTGATCGAAAAAGAACCTGGCGTTGGTCTGGTAGGAGGATTCCTTGATGAACTTGATGTTCGAGGACGGGATGCCTAGCACTTCCAGCGCAGCTTCAACGGTAAAACGATAGTAGTGCATGCGTTGGACCACTTGGTCCATTGGATACTTGACGTTGTCAAGGAAAGAGTAGACATCAAGGAGGACAACAATGATCTGCTATTGGTCAGGGAACCAGGCCATTGGCAACGTTCCAGGTACCAGAGTCCCAAACCTCAACTCCTGCGCGCAAGAAGTCTGCAAACTTCAGAAGTGGGATGAGATACCCAATGTGAGCTTGGGGGGAAAAACATCTTAGTCACACTGCTCAACGCCACTGCTTGCTACCTCAACTCACGTTTTCCTGTGGGTGAGGTGACTGTCATTCTCAATCAGCAGCAGCCCCTTCATCTGCATGCGCCAGATGGATAGACGTACCCCATAAACCAACCGGCTTTTTTCCCTCTCTTGCGAGAGCGGCATGGATCAAATCAGCGCCATTAATATTCTCTTCGGGTATTCTTCTTGTAATCAAATGGAAGTTCTCATCAAGTTTTCGACGGCTTGCCATGTTCGCGGCTACAGAATGCAAATCCGAGGACGGGCTGCTCAAAGCACATGTGAATAAATAAATTGAGGGCCTGCTCGAACCAGTTGTAGGTTTGGCATTGCCAAAATGTGTTTTCTTGAGAGCTTTCAAAGTAGGCCTTCCTGTCCAGCACATAGTCGCCACGGCTCGCCCTGGACTAATGGCCCCGCAACTGGTTATAGCGCAGATGATGGGTTGATGAGTTGACAACCTCCTTGTCACCATTTTTCTCGCCGAAGAGCCACGAGACATGGTGACACTCGAATTAGAAGCTAAGGAGACTAGTTAGCTTGGGCCGGAATTCAGAGAAGCGTAACGTCCATTTCGGACGGATATTCTGGGGCAGTCGCTTTCTGCCCCGTTCACATCTCACAGCTGACGTCCAAGGTGGTATTGCTGAAGTCATCCACAATGGCTTCACAATGGCTCTTGTAGGCAGACATATTCCAGACCAGGGGCTCTGGTTTCTTCAATAGCAACCGCTGTTGTGGAATGGCGTTGGCATGTTTGATTCGACGTAGTGTTCGTCTCTCCAATTGTCGGCCATAATCTTCTGTCCACCTCTGAAGAGCCGCATTGTCCGACCAAAGACGGCTCGTTGGCCCGCCGAGAACGCTAATAATTGCTTTGGTAGCAAGCGGAAGTAGGTTGAATGGTTGCAACAAGAAGATGCAGTTCAACGGGCCTCTCTCAAGGTCGTCCTCGTTGACATGCAGAGGCTGAATCATGCGTGGCATGGTGCCATCGCATTGTATGCTTACACGAGGTATGCGAACTCCTCTACTCAGGGATGTGCACAGCGATACCAAGGCGTCCCGCAGGTCGGATATGCATTCAGGGTATTGGAAGGGGTTGATGTCGAATCGAAGAGAGGTTTTCGCGAAGTCCACTCCATGAAGGCATGGTACATTGCATTTGATGCGTCCCGAATCGTGTATGGAAGAAAAGCATAACTCTTGGCTGCGCAACAGTTCTCGGATTTCGTGGTGTGTTTGATGGTTACACAACATGATCTTCGTTGGGCAGCAATGTTGGCTGTCCTGAGCGGTAAGCTGAACATCCAGATAGCCTTCACTCTGACCAACGAGTGCATAATTGTATATCATGTTGCGGATTTCCCGAGGTATCTGGAGAAGGAGTGCCCCTTCTGAGCTGAGGTGTTGTGCTGCTGTATGGTGGTATGGTGGTATCATGGTGCTTCTGTTGTCAATGATGGGCCTTGAGCACTATTAGTCCTCCAGTAATGGCAGCTGGCCTTCAGGTGGCACCGACAACGTATGACATGTGCTGAGAGAGAGTGTTCCTTGCACAAAGACGAGAACAGTGCAGAAGTCAGGAAGACGTCCTTTATGAACTGGCGGAGGAAAGCAGTGGGGCTCGTTGGCGCACACTGTGGCAATCAATTGGTGCGGAATGCGGGCGCCAAGAGAGCCAAGAGGTGTAATGACAGGCGTAATGTACTAGTAAAGTTTCGAGTACTGGGTATTCTGAACTGAGACATCACCAGCCCTGTTGGCAATCAACCTTGAAGCATGTGCTTGTGTCGAGACACAGGTGTTCCACCCAGCATGGAGGGGCCCCACTCTATGTGTCTGTATAGTGGGTGATTGTGGATCGGTGATCTGGATAATTGAGAATATCCCAGAGGCAGGGGCAAAGAAGGAGGCGTTGATCAACAAACAACAGCATTTCCTCAACAGTATTCGGAGCAAGAGAGAGGGTTTGTGCCATGCACCACTCTGGGGAAGGACCACACTATTAGGGCAACCATCCAACCATCCGGTATCTATGAAGTAGCAACAGACCTGATACCCATTCCGAGCAGACGTGTTGGATGCTCAGATATTTCCATGTTCCTTCAAACCCGCAATCTTGCCGTTGTCTGTGATCGAAGCTATTGTATCCACATATCTCGCAAAGCATGCTCGGGCCTGAGGAAATATGAAATATAGTACCGCTCACCCGCTCCATCTCCTGTTTGAGTCACACGATGTCTTGGCGAGTGAAGCATCAACCCAGACAAACGTTGCAGAGAGTCTGCAACGTTGAAAAGAGCGTATTCTGGCACGGGAGCTGTGAAGGCCCATTCGTGGCCATTAGGCTGCTCTACTTCCAGACCCCACCGATCGTAGAATAGCATTGTCAGCGTGCCACTGTCGGTGTGTAAATTGTCTCCGACTTGGCTAAGTTTGTCCAGGGTCGGTTCTGATATCAACTTCAAGCCTGAGTCGCTGGCTTCTCCCTCGCGGTGCTTTGACTCAAATCTTTGGTCGCCGAGCAGTCCAAGAACATCGGAGAAAGATGACAACACAGTGAGGCAAATAGAGTGGCAAAGTTTTGAGAAACCATCAACCAGCTCAATTTCTTCTTGCATCCCGGGAGGGAGGGGACAAGTCTGTTGAAGAACTTCGTCATAAGCCATCTGCACAATTAGCCATTCTCCACAAACTTCAAGAAGAGGGAAGGGGAAGGGTTGGCCCAGCTACCTCAAGTGTCTCGTCACAAGTGCTCCGTTTATAGCTAAATAGGTCATTTAGCTTTGATCGCAATAGAAGCCTATCTACCACTTACCCGCGATCTTGTGATGGATTCTGCGAAGCTCTGTAGAACTTCATTTTATCCGCGTTTGGCTGGTGAAAGAAGTCCTCTGAAATCCGGTAAATGTCTGGCAACATGGAAGATATTTGCCTTCCAATCGAATCATGCTGGAGATTCAGGTAAAAGAAACCCGTCGAACGAGCTGCGTTGAGCAACTTCTCTAACTCGGTCGACCGGTGTGCTCGTAAAGCTGCCAGGTCAACGACTTCAAGTTTGGCAATCCTATCGGGCTCGTCGCTCATTTTGAATCTGGTGATCTGACACACTTCTGGTGGTCTGAATCAAGATATAGAAGCGTTCGAAGCCGTTGGGTTCGGAGAGTTGAAAGACCTGAAGGAAGTTTTGAGATATTGCCCGACTTTTCTGAATGGTACCTTCTCTATCACCTTCAGTCACCAAACAGATGAATCCACTCACAAGGGTCAATTTCCTTGCACGCGTCGAATAGACTTACGCCACAGCATCACTCACCTTTTACAAGATACTAATGATTTGGCCTGCATATTCGGGCGTTACATACTGGGCACCGTGCAGCGCCTGCCTCAATGAGCGGACACAGGACTGATGTGACGGCGGTTCAAGAGAAGACGCAAACTGGATGATGGTCATGTTTCTCCACCCTTCGACGCTCGTGTTATCGGCATATTTTGACTATCAGGCGCTGGGTGCCGATTCGAGCGCTCTTGGGAAACGTCAATAAGGCGAAGCTGCAGTGTAGCAACGCGAATGTCTGTACGTATATTCCTGCTGATCGCCGCCTTTTGATGACATGTTAAATCAGGAACTCGACGCTTCCCTCCAACCGAGAAGCACAAGCAATACATTACGAAGGTGAAGGGAGGTGTTGCACAGGACCTCCACATCTATCCTTGTTCGCACGACGCATACTCGTCTTGATTGCAGCACATCAATCTGCCGTCGATAGCCGCCAGATCCGCTTTGATGTATGTTTTGATATATATGAAGATCGCTAAGAGAGTCATATCACCTTTTTCGCAGCCAATAGACAGGATCATGTTGTATGAAGTGCTCAGTTTTGGAGAGACAGCCCATTCCGATAGAAGACATCTCGGAAAGGTGCTTGAAGAGAGGATTCTGAAGGCACACCAAGGGCCCATCTGACAAGGCGAACTAAGCCCGAGACAGTTTGGTAGAAATGAAGTGCTAGCTGAAGTGGGTTAGTTATAACCCCCCCCCCCCCCCAAAAAAAGGGCTTCATGTCTCATGGGTGTACGACGAGACTCTGTTACACGAACCTTCCGTCTCGTTGCACCAAGGTTTTGTCACACGAATTCCCCCCTCTCGTTTCAGCAACATTGTCAACTGATGTGGCAGGCGGGAAGGCCGTGGTCTTGCTCGTAGAAACGCCCTCGAGAAAAACTCGCACAGCCTCATGCAGCGGCTTGCAGGTGGTCATCTCAAATCGACTGATGCCGAAATTTCAAAATCACGAGTATTGCAGCGTGATGGATAGGGACCTTGGCCTTGGGACTGGCAGAGGGGGTTTTAACCCAGAAATGTCTTGACAAAGAATGGTCCTCCTTAGCCTGTGGTAATCAGTCTTTGATTCTAGAACACATATTCCTCTATCATATAATTTGGTTGCTGACCGGCTGATGGAACCCTCCTGGCGAGTATGGATGTTGGAACTTGGAGCCATATTGCTACTGCTAGGGGTTGCCTATTACTCTACACGGATTCGAGTCCACCAAGTTATACAATATCGGCAACAATTGGAAGACCCCTCCATCTCACACGCTCTCGCCCTTCGAGCCATGAAGCATCTATACCACAGTTTACACCACCCTGAAGAACTCCCTGATTCTAGAAATTGGGCACATAAATGCCTGGATTCGCTGCTCTCCCAGACGAGCAATCTGGCTCGACAGCACTGGGAACAAAATAGGACCGAAAAGGTCAACCGCAGCATCCTTTGCCTTCGGAATTTCTCAAAGGAGGGCTTACGAGGTTTCTTGGAGGCGATGAACATCGAGATCCAAGATGAATGGGAAAGATATGTTCTTGGAAGAAGGGCAGGCAACCCACGAGAGTTATTCCAGACTGTGCACGAAGCTTCCCAATGGATCAAAAAGATAAGCCCTGTGAAGCTCGTTGACGGAGCCTGGCTTGGCCATCTGCGTCTCAGCTTGATACCTTTCTCACTCCAACCCGTGCTCAGGGATCTCTGGCAGATTCTCTCAGAAGAGCTAGGTGATGGAGATATGGCCAAGAATCATGTCTATGTCTTCAAGGAACTGCTTCTGAGCGTCGACCATGAGTTCCCCAATTCCGACAGTGAAGACTTCATTCGTTCCGCACACTTGACGGACAACTTGTCTACTTGGAATTCTGCACTCGCACAGTTAACCATCTCGCTATTTCCGCAAGATTACATCCCCGAGATCCTGGGATTCAATCTGCATTTCGAGCTGGTTACGTTGGAGACGCTGAAAGCAACCAAAGAGCTGAAAGAAGTGGGTCTCGATCCATGCTACTTCTTCCTGCATGTTTGCATCGACAACACTGACTCCGGCCATTCGGCTATCGCCTTCCGCGCAGTGTGTCATTTCATGGATTATATCCGTGAAGTAGAAGGAGAGGCGGCTGCCAGACGAGATTGGAAGCGGATACAGAATGGTTTTTGCTTGTCACAGTTCTCAACCAAGTTGGAATCCCCTCCAGATGCCTTCCTCCCGAGCGAGCATGAAACAAAATTAGTGAATATTTTGACCAACAAAGTCCAAGCTTCCAGAAAAGTCCACTGCAACAGTCCTGCACGCATCAAAGGCCGGTTAATCGGAGACTGGTTGGATCCCCAAATGTGGCAGTCTCCAAGCTGGCGACTTGACTTCTTGCACGCTTTCAGTTGCGATGAACAGTGGATATTTCCAGGCGACAGTCACCGCAGTCGATTTATCCAAGTTGTTTCTCCCGGCGGTAAGATGTTTGGTTCATTCACTGTGGACGAGCGCGAGGTTTTGAGAGAGTGGATTGACAATTTATCACCCAAAGATGATGTAAAGACAGAAAATCTCCGGGAAGAATCACAATGGCTTCGTTCCGAGCACCTACATCCTGAGCAAGATATGAGACTGTCGGTGAAAATATCTTCGAACAACAGCCTTATATATGAGAGGGTTCTCCCGCTTTGGTTTGCAGCTTGCAGCTTGCTAGAGGGGTTTGTGTCAGTTCCAACAAAAGCCGCCACACAGCTCGCCTTGAGCGTGCTGAAGGTCCTCCGAGTGCAGAACGGATTTCGAGACTGTGATCAGGATTTCGCGCCGACCAATGCTGCAGCTGAACGAGATCCTCTCCACACACTGAGCAGCATAGGACTAATAATGATAGAGTCTGCGGGATTTGGCAGCGTGTCTTCGCTCGCCCAAATCCTTGAAATGTGGCCGTTAGATTTCTCGTCCAAGATGGTTGAGCTGTCTCGAAGGCCAGAAGAAAACAAGGCGATCCTCATTGGCATGTCTCTGGCATTTGCCGAGTTTCATGCTCAAGTGAGCTCCTCTCAACTTCTGGAGCGAACGTGGAGTGAGGCGCTTCGTACCATTGCTGAAAGCGAAATACGCCACCTGACCTGCTGCCGTCGACTTTTGGAAGATGAAGGATATCGACGTCAACTCGAGGCCGGATATAAAATCGCGACCATAGAAATCCACAAGAGCATCAAGGATGGGAAGGAAAGTATATAGCTAGAGCAATCCAGTGTAATGGTAGCAATGCATTGAAGTGTTATGAGGTGGAGTCTTCCATGTCCTGGATGATAGTATTCTTTGCCAAAGTACTGTAACAAGTGTGACAGAAACAGAAAAGAAAATGGTTAAGGAATTAGCGCATTTACGCCCTGGACCGGGAAAGTCGCCCGACACCTTCGCTAAACATTCCTCGCTAGTGCCCTTCGGTGACGTCTGGCATAAACACATATTACGGCAATTTACCGAGTAGGTCTCAGTAAAAAACCACACTCCACAAACAACCGGCAGAGCCGGCAGACTCGCCACACAGAAATGTCAGGGGTTAAATTTCTCTGTTGATTTCATGTTCATTCTTCTGGCGTTGATTCTGTTGAATCAATTGCCGTAACAGTCAAGGCTCGAACATGGTCTGAGAATGCTCACCCCCGAATCCGTTCGGAACACTCTGAGGAGCAAGCGCAAAGGGCAAACTCTGAGACCCTGCTATCCATGCAGGCAGAGAAAAGTCAAATGCAGCGACTCCAGACCTTGCAGCAGGTGCATCGAGCGTTTGCATGAACACCTTTGCTCTTATGAGCCTCCACCAAAGCCCTCCACGACAAGACCACCAGGAGGGACCGCGAGACGACATTTAGGGGCATATAGCTCCCAGACCAGATCCCAACGTGACGAAATCGGGAATGCCTCCACCTTGAACCAGGTCGCCGACACATATCAGAGAGCAGTCGGTGCTGACCCTGATCCTGATGGTGCGACACCTGCAATCAGTGTCTTCCTTGGTGAACAGTCTGTCCCTTCCTTTGTCGAACAACAGATCAACCAGATTTCGACGTCTAGCGATGAAGGTGCTGCTGAGGTCAGGCAGACGGCAGTACCCATGCTGGGGCTTCAGCCATCTGAACAGGGACTTTTCCCTTACTGGCAATCTCATGATAACTATACTCAGAATATCTCCGAAGCTTTGCCAGACAAAACTGAGATTCTCGAGTCAGTGACTAGCTCTTCCCTTTGTTTGGTTCCGACTCAACACGATATATGACAGAGCCTGCAGGAATGAAGTCTTTTGGTAACTTTGAGGATGGCACTGACAAGGCGGTAGGTTATTCTCCCGCTATATCCATGTCGTTTATCCGCTTAATCCGTATCTCCTAGACGTCGGACGGTTTGAGATTGAGTTGATCCGGTTTTTAGAAGCGACATCACAAAATTCTCAAAGCTACCTACTAGGATCGAACCATGCCTGGGTTGGGCTCTTGTTTGCGGTCATAGCATCCGGACTTCAATGTTCTCGTGTACGCACGCCTGATGATGTGCTGAAATGCCGTCGTTACAGTAAGCTACTACTGACGAGTATCAATTAGTACAGGTCACTGATCAATATAAGTTTCTACAGCATTCCACTGTTTACATCTTGCTCAAGGATTTGTCAACCCCTCAATAGATTGCATCAAGGCCCTCGTGATCATCGTTCATGTCCTACAAAACGAGCTGCTCACTGAGGCTGCTTGGACACTGGTCGGGCTGCTAAGCCGGCAAGCCCAATCGCTGGGATTGCACATGGCCAAAGCCAACCCACAACAAGGTCAGAGTCAAGGACTCGGCCAAATCCAACTGTGGTACGCGCGGACTATGCTTGATAGCGGCCCAGTCTTCATTTTCTGAGTGTGTCCAGGTGGATCATCATGTGGCAAGATAGTCTCCTATCACTGTGCTTTGACCGAGCACCTGCAACTGCCGTCAACTGTACGGACCCGTTCCACACCCTGATGGCTGGCGACCAAGAACTGGGATATCGAGAAGCGATGTGCGTGCTCTGTCATCTAACCTTGAAAGTCAGCGCTCGTCGCTATGCCTTTGATATGACGAACTCTACAAACCCCAGCTACGAGAATATCATGCGGGATTTTCACATGGTCGAGCAAATCAAATCGAAGCTTCGTCCTGAAATCAAAGCGCACGATAATTGCAGAACCGTCCAAGATCTCGTCCATTACACTTGTTTCAAACTGCATTCCTCGTTTGCACAGGGGGCCCTTCTGCGTCCGTCCCTGAACACCAAGAATTGGCGTTATCTGACCACAATGCAAAGGCAAGACCTAGCCACCAAATGCATCAATTCCCACAAGAATTCGCTAGACGCATACCTGAATCTGTTAGCGATCAGCACGAGTGCCAAGCGTTCGTGGGCAATGTTGCATAACGGGCTGGCGTCGGCGCTCATCTTGGCCATTACGGGCCAAATCAAACACGACCCCTCCGTGACAGCCATGTTAGAACGTTTGTTCACGACCCTGCAGGCTGAATCGCCTAGCGATACTGACGCCAAACAACTATGGAATCCTCATGAGAGAGGATTGCAGGCGCTCCAGCGGATGTACGAACGTCAGACTCTGGGAGCGGCATCTTCTCACACGCCTATCGCAGATTCAGGCACACCTTCATCTCTACCTACCGCTGCAGGTATGGCTGGTACCTCGGGTCCTTCCGCCACGGAGATCTTTGAGGTGGACTATTTCGCGTTCGATCCGCAATCGATGGGGGAAATATCTGCCTTTCTTCCCAATAGTGACACATATGGCGATCTCATGGTTGACGACGTATTCGACTCCGTTTTGTGGGGATCAGGTTGATTGGATAATAAGAGACAGAGAGCAGCAAGCAACAAGGAGCTTTTTTTGCAACATTTTTTTGCCGATGACCATTGCAGGCGCCGTCCCCTGCACTCCTGCACTCCTACAGCCACGATATGATCAAGTTGACGGGTGGGAGCGATAAAGGTACCTTTCATATTGTTACGAAGAAGACTTTTCTGTAGAAGATGTACACAACAAGGCACAGTCAGGGATATCACCGGTAATACAACCAAACTGTCAATGAGCGGCGAATGGCCCCTCACCGCGTAGAAACCGAGGAAGTTGCAACGACTCTACGCCGCCATCAAAACCCCCTGTATAAATGGCCCTGCTGCACTCCGCCCCTTATTTTCAAAAGCCCCAAGCCGACCAACGCTCGTCGACACTCTTCTGGAGATTCTCGGGGTAAGAGTGCTTGAAGTCTGCCAGCTCCCAATCTTGACCGCCAGTATACTCTGCCGGGAGCAGAGCGTCAGAGACCACCTTCCCGCCTTTATTCGGCGCGGCAGTGCCATGGCCCATGTAGGGAATCAACGCAAAGCCCCGGCAGTCCTGGTAGAACAGTTCATCAGTCTGCGGTCTGCATCGGGTGGAAAAGGCGAAGAGCACGTCCTTGAAGTCGTACACATCGATGTCCTCGCCGACCAGGACCAGCCGGTGGATCGTGTACCCGGCCTTGTGCCCGTAAACGAGGTCCCCGACCACTTTCCGGAAGGCTTCGGGCGCGAGGTTCATGTCGGCGAGTTTCTTTGTGTCGACCTGAAGCGCCACCCAAGTGACTTGGGTTTCGAAAAGACCCATAGCTTCCTTGATGGGCAGACCATGGTCTTGGCAGAGCTGGCGGATTTCGGCAGCGGCTAGGGGCCCGATCATGGTTTGCTATAAAGATCCAGGAAAAAGGGGTCAGTTGCTTGGTCTTTCGCCATCTTACATGGTCAGGAAAGCGATGAGGTAGGGTATCTTTGGAGCTGCCCGACTTACCGTTTCATCCGTAATTCTTCCGCAGTTTGATACTGGAAGGATAGCGTCTGTGCGATGGGTGATTTTGTTTACAGTATAGACAGGCTGAAGATGGGAGTCTCCCGGAAAGACGTAACCGTGCATTTCACCAAAGGGACCCTCGGGCGCGAGCTCCGAGACAGACAGGGTACCTTCGAAGACGATCTCGGAGGTCGCCGGTACGTACAGGTCGTTTGTCTCGCACTTAACGACATCTAGCGCAGTGCCGGTCATTGCGCCGATGTAGTCAGCCTCGGAGATCCCGTCAGGGAGAGGCATGCTTGCTGCCATGATGGCCGCTGGGGGGACCCCGAAGCACAGTGCCCACGGGACATCCTTCCCGATTGCTTTCCACTGCTCCCGGATCTGCCAGATGTGTTGCGGTTCGATGACCAGACCAACGAGATGATTCTTGTCCTTCACCATGGCCCTCGCGATGGACCAGTTTGTCCAGGTTCCATCCGGGGACTGGACGACGTGCATTCCGTAGGTTTGAATGTATTTGCCACCGTCACATTGGTGGAGGAACGGGGCGGGAAGCTTTTCCAGGTCAAACTCGTCCAGGATGTGCGCCTTGCAGGGCCCTGTGCTGACGACCTTCGGCGGGATCGGAGCCGACGTCTTCGCAGAGAGCACTTTGTCCAAGATGTCCTTCATGCCTGCGGTGGGCGGGAGAGCGAGGTGGCGCGCCAATCGAGCATATCGCCGTGATGGATCACGTCGAAGGGACGCCGGGGCTCCCAGGATTCTCCAGAAGCCATTGACGTTGCCCTTGAGGTTGTTGAACAGGGGTGCTTTGCCGTCGGTTTCACACGCTTTTCTGATGATAGCGGCAGCCTCAAGATAGGGGTCGATCTCGTCGTTGATCTCGACCAAGTCGCCGTCTTCCTTGAGTGCTGACACGAAAGACCGAAAACTCAGATGAGCTGGACCGTCTGAGGGTTGCGTGAATGTTCTTGAGGCCATGGTTGGAAGTTGCGGGTCCTTTGAATGATTCTTTTCTTACAATGTGTGCTGTGGGATGTCTCTATGCTATAGTAAGTCGATTCGGATTTGTGCCCCAATATATACTTCTCTCACCTGAGAGAGCTTCTGCGACATTTTTGTTTCTCGCTTTTGGACTCGCCCTTGCCACAGAGGAGCACTCATTGTCCCGTCAGAGCGTGACCGCGAATAGAGGTGAGATAGAGGATTCATGGCTGACAGTGCCATAATCTCTGACCGCTTTGATTACCACGTAACCACCACGAGGATACAAAATGCTTGTCTACAGGTGGTAAGTTTTCCGTACGCAGGTGGCGTTGCAAGGCTGTCCAACCAGAACATGCACCGAGATTTGCGAGGTTTGCGAGATTTGCGAGATTTGCGCATTCGTGAATCGCATCAGCGGTATTTCTTCGAGTTTCACGAACGACAGCATAATCGTTCACACGGTAGAGAGACACCACCCAAGCTTAAGGCCGAGAGAAAAGAGGATGATGAGAAGGATGAGAAGGCGCCTCCTTCCGCCTCCGGAGGGCACAACATATAAGAGAGGGTAGGCGGTCTCGTATGCCGTTTGCTTCGTCGACCTTCGAAGACATCTTGGAGCAGATTACACCCGTGTCGACTACATCTCCCATGACCATGATCGTTGTATACTGCCTATTGGCGTGCTTATGTGGCTACGTTGTGGCCGCGGCTCGTTTGGAGCCACCCAAAAGCCTCGCCGGATTCTTCCACGTCAATTTTGTTCCGAAAAAGTCGACAGCCATGTCCAGCGAGGATCGAAGACCGAGCAAAACTAAAATACCAGCGATCAAAATCACTCCACCTCGGGCTGAAGAAGGCATGAATTCAAAGGTCGCTCCGGGACGTCAGACGGCTGCCACTGCCGTGGGCGTCGTCCAACCTGCGAAGGCGAGAAAGCGAGTCGTTGTGGCCATGACTGGAGCAACAGGCGCAATTCTCGGGATCCGCCTCCTCGAAAAACTACGGCATCTTGATGTCGAGACTCACCTTGTCATGAGCAAGTGGGCAGAGGCGACGATCGCGTTCGAGACCGACTATAAGATTCGGGACGTCCGCGCCCTGGCGTCCAAGGTCTACTCGGCACGGGATGTGGCGGCGCCCATCTCTAGCGGATCGTTCAAGGTCAACGCGATGATGGTGGTGCCCTGCAGCATGAAGACTCTAAGTAGCATCGCAACAGGTTACGGCGACGACTTGATCTCTCGAGCGGCAGACGTCACGCTGAAGGAGAGGCGGAGGCTGATTCTCATGGCGCGCGAGACGCCCCTGAGCGGCATCCACCTTGAGAACATGATGAAGGTCACGCAGAACGGCGCCGTCATCTTCCCGCCGGTGCCGGCGTTCTACATCAGGCCCAAGACGGTCGACGACATTATCGACCAGAGCGTCGGGCGGTTACTGGACCTTGTGGATATCGACACGGCTGATTTTGAGCGGTGGAACGGGATGCGGAAGTTTGAAGCCAAGGAGGGATGAAGGTGATCTATCTATCTATATATTTCCCTATTTCTAGCCACAAAATCTCTAACAAGTACACTAGTCAAGTAGTGTACCTCGTATTAAGATATACACCTTCTCTATACGGAAAATAGACGGCCCCGCTGAGTCATTCCTCAGTCAGCCGGACTCTGTCCACCGCACAGTTGCGCACACATATTACCAATCGTCCCATTCGTCAGTGGCTTCGTATAGTAATCATCACACAGGGAGCTTCAGGCCCCGGTAGTCGAAGCCACCTCGTCACTTCTGCAGTGGCAACGACCATCCCCCTTGCATCCCACCAAGCCCCTACCGGCGCTTCTCGAGTTTCAAACACGAGGCCGTCTATCCTGCATGCGTATCGTGGCCATCTGCCTCGCCGTCTTCTAGCCGCAAAATGGCCTTTTCTGTGGATAAACCCGGCCGCAAGTCGCCGCTCGCCTTCCGAAGACAAATCCACACATGGCGTGCCACGGCCGCACCCTCGAAGAACCCACAGGTATGTGATCCGTAGTCATCGAATCGGCCTACATAGCTCGACGAGAGGTCGATAGATCTGAGGGTGGCATTTGGCTTTTGAACGCGGGCCTAACTCCCCCAAAACTGCAGAGCTCTCGCCCTTCTGCACAGAAGAAGAAAACCACCACCAAGCCGCAAAGATCAGGATCGAACCCTGACGGCGACCGGCCGCCTTCGTCCGCGGACCCGGCAGCATGGCAGTCCCCGCCAATTCGGGAGATTGACACGGTTCTAGACCCCTTCTGCAGCTTCCCCATGGATGTGCCCGCAGATGGGCGCCGACTGCTTCAATTCTGTGTGTTTGATTCGACCCCGGCCCCATGTTGAAATTCGCACAAAATGGGAAAAAAGGAACGAGAGTGTGTGAAGCTAACGGGTTGTTGAACGGGACAGACATCACCACCATCTCCAGCAGGATCTACGGCACCAATCACAACCCAGGCTTCAGCCCTGTCCGAGATATCAGTTTCCGCCAGGCCTTGATGGGCTCCTACACGCTACAATGGATGATCATCTCGGCGGAGGCCTTGCTGAACCGCTACAGAGGCGGGCCCGAGCCGGTGTCTCTGTTCCGTCGCAAGGCGGCGGCGTACCTGGCGCTGAATAGACATCTCCAGAACTTCTCGAGGGAAAAAGTTACGGATCAATTCGTCAACGGCATCGTCATGGCCATCATCACCGAGTCGCGCATCGCGGCGCCCGAGGTCGCCAACATACATCTACGCGCCTGGGAAGCCGTCCTCAAGACGGGAGGAGGCTTCAAGCAGGTCGTCGCCGCTTCTCCGCGGCCCTTCGACCAGATGGGGTGTCTCATGCCCTATCTGATCTGCGAACCCCTCCCGGATGCCCTGGTCTTTCCCGAAGAGTTCGAGGATCAGGCCATGGATCTCCTCCGGACGATCGTGAAGGGGGAGAACCCGGCTGATCCGACGGAGCTGATTTTCATAGCGTCTCACGTCGTCGTGCAACCCCAAGTACTCTTCCTGTCCATGCGAGGCTCTCTACCTCAGCAGATCCGGCATTTGTTGCTGTCCAGCGTGATCGCCCCTTACCTGCGCGTCGACACGTGGGGACAGCGGCAATACGCGCAAAAGTCGTCGCACTTCATCTCCCTGTTCCTGCTGGTCACGACGTTCTGGAAGCTGCGGCGCGACTACAAGGACCAGGCCGGCTTCTTCAACGGTCTGTACCGGCTGTTCATGAACAGCGCTACGCAGACCCAGTCCGGGACCCGCTCCATGACCGACGAGGGCTTCTTCTGGGTCGTGGTCAAGGCGTGCTTTGACGTCTACGTCAACATGAACGACAGGGCGACGCGGTTGGAGAAATACATCGATTTCCTGGCCGACGCCCTCTCGGCCCTGAAACTCTTCCGCGTCTGTTGTGACGGCGTCAGAAAAAATATGACGGTTTATCTCTACCAGTGCCTAACAAGCGGGAATGAGGCGCCGGATTGAAAGAGCGTTTCAACCACCCATTCACCCGGATTAGGCTCGTCAACTTTAGGGCTGGTTGTTGATTTGGGGCCACTCATCTGTGCGCAAAGATCTACAACGATCCCTCTCCGCGCCGCGAGTTGATTCCGCTAACCCAATCCAAGGGTCCTTCCGCTGATGCTACAGGAATCGCGGATAAGGCAGGAGTTGCGCAGTTAAAAAAAAAAAAAAAACAGTCTCACTAGGCCAGGCGCCCGCTGGGTTCATTGATCTTTATTCTCAGACGTATAGAGATATAGCTCAAGCTGCTAAATGAGGTACTTGGGCGACAGTTACAGTTATGAGCTTCGCCAGTGCGTGGATTGCCGCCCTATCTAGAGCGCGGGAGGGACAACGGAACACCTCGCTACGAGCAAAGGTACCTAGATTTGTCCAAGAGACGTGTTTTCTCAACACCATCATCAATCAAAAGAGAGTGCAATCCACTCTCATCCAGTCGAACGACAATGCCAAATCCCCGCAGGGACAATTCTGAGAGGACCACAGAAACCAAGTGGCTACCAAGACAATATATTGGGGGTCTCCGTTCCACGGACAGGTTCGGCGAGATTTTGGGATCTTCATGAATGCCATATCATGAGTTGAGCACTAATTGAGACATTGATCGAGAATACAGAAGGGGTATCTCCTTCATAGCACTAGCGCCATCTTCACCAGTGCCTAGAGGTTCATTTTCAAACATAAAGCCGAGGCAGTTGCGTCGCCTGGGTAAGCATCGGGGTTAACTCAACGTGTGTTGTCCGGGTGGATCGGTGGGCTCCCTTGCTCGAGTCGATCCAATAATCGAGGGAAGACCTTCCGCACAGTTTCGTCCAGCGACAAGCCCAGGAAGCTTGAAGTCCATGGCGGCTGCTCGTCTGTCTCGATGACAATGAACCACCCTTCGCAACGAGCCACGTTCATTCGACATTCAGATGGGTGGTAGGCAATTAGCGAATCATCATTGAATGAAACGAGGTCATCGCCGTCCATAAACCAAGATCTACCATCCACTGTCGATTTGTGTTCTGGTACCCTGCTGGTTAACGACTGAGATGCGCGCCCTCTGAAGATGTCATTGAGATAGAGCGTTAGGCCGTTGATGGTATGGCTGCGCTGGCGGGCTTCGTGGAGCAATGGATGGACATCCAAGAAGACCTTGGCCATGTGCTGTCGGTCTCGAGTGTCACTGAGGTGGTCGCAAAATAGCTCTAGCCCCCGCAAAAGCACCAGCGCCCTGGCATCGGAGAATTGGCGCCCCTCTCTGACCGAAATATTTCTCTTCCGGGAGAGAAACCCGTGCAGAAACGCCAACGGCATTTTAATTTCGTGAGGTTCGAGACCTTTCATCCCCTCAGCCAAAGTATGGATATCAGCTGAGACTCTGGTTGGGGTCATGAAACTTTGCGCAAGCAGATGTGCGGCGATCCGTTGCGCAGACTGGACACACTTGGCAGGTCGAGAGACCCGTCTCACGCGCAATAGCCACTGCTGAGCGTTGGGGGGGGGGGGGGGGTGATTTGGCCATTTGTCCCATGTCGTGCTTGGTTGATGCAACCTGTCCAACTGCTTTCCAGGGCTTCCCACTCGATCACGGCTCCAGATTCTGCAGGGAGGTCGACAAAGGCTTGGGTGAAATTGCGAAACTTGCCTTTGTCTGAAGTCTCTGGCCGGATATCGAGCCGATAGGTGCTGAAGAAGTCCTGACTGGCTTGCTCCACTGCTCCCAAGAGTTGTTGAAGTTGCCCGGAGTTTGTTCAAAGACAATATCAGAACAAGAGACTCGTGAGAGATGGTATGGACTTGCGAAACCATGCATCGAGATGCATGGGAAATGGCGATTGCATCATGGAAAGAGACAACACCTGTCATTGAGCATATCGACGTTCTTCCTGCACAGATTTGAAGGCAGCTTTGACCTCTTCCCAACGCGTCTTCCGTAGGCGCCTGAAAGCCGCTGTTGGCCTGGATTTCAGGTCTGTGCTTAGGGCCTGGTTTGAGCATCTGCGTGATCACATTGACCATATTCATCTTCCCGTGCCCAGGTTTTGGTGAGATCTTGGCGGGCGCTGCGTTATTTCCCGTTAGAGTGACTCCGCCCTCGTCTAAGCTCCAGTTCGTTGGCGACTTGCAGGGTGTTGAAGGAGAAATGTCGCGACATCGTCAGCAAATATCCTACAATAGTAACTTGGGATAATGAATGTTGCGAGCCGAAAATACGGAGTTCCAAGTTAGCACAATTGTATCAGTGGCGTTCGGCACTAGTGAAAGACCAAATCGGCTAAGTTGCCTTGACATCACAAGTTTTTGTACACTTTCAGAGTTGGAGAAACTTTTGTGGTCGACCTTTCCTCAACCCAGACCCTGCTTTTGCGTACCTCGACGCGGCACGCAGACATGGCGGAGAAGAAGAGAAAGGCAAGCTCCCTAGAGAGCGAAAGGCCGCCCAAGAGGCCGCAAACGAACACCATCAAAGTCACTCATCTGAGTGGCCCGGAGGTCGCTAAACCTCTGGTCGGTATGCATTTCGCATCTGTCCCGATTTTCTTCGTGGGCTGACTCCCTATGCCAGCTTCGTCGCCCGGTGTCACACTTCCCTCAGACCTCAGTTTTAATGGGTTCTCTAAAAAGCAGCCAGTAACCGGGAGGTCTAGCCTGCTCCTCCAGTCTTCGGACCACCCTACCATTGACTATGTCGCGACCGAGAGTAGCACAACCGATGGCGCCGAAAAGAATGTCAAGCACTATATAGCCGTCTTCGACCCGGCCTCCAACAAGCTCAAAGTGGTCGGAGCTAGGAAGATGACTGTGAGAAGCACCGTGCGCCAGCTAGACAAAGGAAGCGACGACGAGGAAGACGAGGACACCAAGCCTGCACCAACACCGTCTCGCGCGGCATTGACACAAGCATTTGGAACGAAAAAGTCAAAGAGAGTCGTAACCTCGTCGGCCGAGAACCGTCTGCTTGCTCGCGATGGAGAGGACCGGGACCACCCTGTTTCCAACGCCATTCTATCGTCGATTAAAGAGGAGGACGACCCAGCCGTCATGGCCGACGCAGGAGCTGCTTCCCGAGCCAACAAACCCCTCCCACAAGCCAATTTAGACACGACCGACATCACCCAAGTCTACAATCTCTCCTCGCTCGTCTTTCCGGGTCCTTACCGAACAACCCTGTCTCAAATGCCCATCGCGTTCTGGAAAGAATGCGTCAAGAAGAAGAAACCCGTCTCAACCCACCTGCGCTTCGTGGCGACGCGCGTGGGCTACCTAGCCCAACGGCATCTCAAACAACCGGACAACGAAGAAGTCTTGATTAAGCTCCAAATCCTCCGCTACATTCAACTCCTCGTCGAGATTCACAAGTACGTCTCGCACCAGTCGCCGCGAAGAACGCTGGCCCAGCCGGAGCTATGGCCCAAGGGCACAACCACGGACGCCTCCCTGTCGACAGCCTTCAAGGGGAAATTGATGTCCCATTTCTTCCCCAACAACACACCCACCGTCTTCAACAAAACCTTACTTACATCCACAATCCTCGCGCTGACGCTACACATCCCTCCCCCAAACTTCTCGCCGGGCGAGTCACCAAAGACGCTCTTCACCGAGCCGAGCGACATCACGCTGGACCTGGCCATGCCGCACGCCGAGATTTCTAAGCTGTACCGCGAACTGGGCTGCAAGATGGAATCCATGACCGACGGCGAGCTGCAGCGCTATGGATGGGACAAGGTATTGTCGTCTCCTCTACCACCACCGCAACAGAACGGACGAATCGACGACGGCGACGACGACGAAGGAGGCAACGCGGTGGTGCTCAAGAAGCTTCCTAAGCCCAAGTTCGCGAAGCTACGGTTCCCCGTCGAATTTCCCAGGGTCAGTGCCGGGAGGCCAACAGGTCGGAGGTAGGGACTCTGGCTTGCCGGCGCCGGCGGCGGGGCCTTTGGGGTATAATTACGGAGTACACAGCTGAGATTGGCTCACTCGACAGGTTGGGCTGGCACCTTACATACGGAGGACAACTTGCAAGGAATGGAGAGATGCCGGGTGAAAAAAGGATAGAAAGTAGCGGCAGGCGCCGCAAGACGTTCAAACGGTCCTCCAGCATGGAGAGCATAGGTATGAAGAAAGGTAAGCGAGGCGAAACGACAAAAGATACAGGAAGGAACAAGAAAAGTTAAAGTCCAGGTCGATTGACCAATTCGAACGTGAAGCAATGAATGGTGTTGTGTAGAAAGTCACAAATGGCCACATCATATGGCGATTGTAGATTTCCTAATTTCATCGGCCCACAACCATGTTTGTAGTGTGACCGGAAAATATATATATGTAATGGGCTGAAGAGCCGGACATTTGCTCCCCCTCCCGCTTCTGCGAGGAAAAAGAGGGGGCAAAGAATTCGAATAGCAGAACGGACATCATTCCTTCACGTTCACACATCCCATCTTCTCGTCCTTTATGTCACATCATTCCTATTTTCATGTGCAGTGCGGCTTTTTTGTCTTTCGCGGCGAGCACTTCGCAGTCTTCCCGTCGTTCAAACGAGAAACGGGATACAGAGAAAGCTCAAGCAGCAGCAGCAGCCGCGATGGGCAACGCTCTTGCCTCGGATGCCTGCTGGACCAGCGGCTCGGGGTCAAGAGACTGTGCGGCCCTTTCAAGCTGCGCATCGGTCCACAAAGACTCGACTGGCGCTGCGTCTTTGACGCCAACGCCCACGAACCCGCCTTGGGCCTCCCAGTCCTTGACGCGCTTGATGTTCAAGCGGTTCCAGACATTCTCCAGCGCGTCGACCAGTTCGGCGCGCAATTCGGAAGTATGTCCCGGAGTGGGCGTGATGCGGAGTCTCTCTTCACCTCGCGGAACGGTTGGGTAATTGATGGATTGGACATAGATATCGTAATCGTTGAGGAGCATATCAGAGGCTTTCTTCGCCGTTTCGGCGTCACCGACCAAGAGCGGGACAATATGTGAAGGATTTGGAATCACCGGGATGCCTCTTGCGGTGAGATCATCTTTCAGGGCACGCGTGTGAAGTTGCTGCAAGCGACGGTCTCCTTGATAGACGGCTTGGTATTCAATGGCCGCACGTGCACCAGCCATGGTCGCAGGTGGAAGCGACGTCGTGAAGATGAATCCGGGTGCGAGAGAACGAATGGTATCGACCAGTGAGGCGGAGCCAGCGATGTATCCACCCACACAGCCATATGCCTTGCCTAGCGTTCCTGTGATAATGTCGACTCTGTCCATGACAGTACCCCTCTGGGATTCCTTGGTTCTATTGGGGTCGGCATAGACATCGTAATCAAGGTGTTCGGCAACGCCGGCACCTCGCGGCCCATACATTCCAACGGCATGGACTTCATCCAGAAATGTAATGGCGCCATACTTATCTGCCAAGTCGCAGATGGCTTCAATGGGAGCGATGGAGCCGCACATGCTATAGACGGATTCAAAAGCGATGATCTTCGGTTGCTCGGGTGGGAGGCTCGCGAGTTTCGTCTCCAAATCAACCAGGTCGTTATGCTTGAAGACCATTTTCTTCGCACCGGAGTGACGTATGCCTTGAATCATGGACGCGTGGTTCATGCTATCGCTCAGGATCACACAGTCGGGCAATTTGCTGCCCAGCGTAGCCAAGGTAGCATCATTGGCGACGTAACAAGAGGAGAAAACCAGAGCGCCTTCTTTGCCATGAAGATCGGCGAGAGTCTTTTCCAGTTCCACAGCATGCTTGTTGTGGCCGGAGATGTTTCTAGTTCCTCCGGCGCCAGCTCCGTACGTGTCGAGCGTGTCATGCATGGTCTTCAAGACATGCTTGTTGCGACCCATGCCGAGGTAGTCGTTGGAGCACCAGACGGTGACGCGCTCGTCCTTTGCAGCCATGTGGGCGCGAGGGAATTCCTTCGCCAGGCGATTGATGTTGTTGAAATAGCGGTATGACTTGTCCTTGTGCTTCTTGTCGAGCTCATTGTTGTAGAAGCCTTCATAGTCAAAACGTGGGGCAGGCGGCGCATTGGGTCTGGGGCCAGCGTAGGTGTCCGGTTTCTTGACGGCATCGGCGTTCTTCACAGCCTGCGGAGGTGGAGCTGCACACTGTTAGTATCCAGAGCAACAAATCCCTATGGGTTGTCTCTACCTGGCTGGGGAGGTCGAAACAAATTGGTGTCCACGCTCGCTTTCTTTTCAGCCGAGGTGTGCAGTTTCTTCTCCAGGAGGGACTTGACCACGCCGGCGCCGGCAGCGACATTCCCATAGCTGCGACGCGAGTTGATGCGGGCGCTCTGGACGGCCAGGGCCTTGTTCATGACAGGGCATCGTCGGGCAATGAACTGCAGGTTCGTAATGGTGCCGCCACCGGGGGACTGGCGGGTCGAGGTAGACAAAGAGCGCAGGGTTGCGGGAGAGGTCTTCTTCAAAAAGGGGCAGACGCCCTTGGATTGGTGCAGCAGGGCCTCCATAGTTCGTTCGTGGGGTGTTGTCGAGGGTGTTGAAGGAGATGTGAGGGTTGAAGAGGAGGTGTGGGAGAAGAACGGGGAGCCAAGGGTAGAGGACAAGTGTGAGAGTAAGTAATATTTGCTCGGTCGCAGCTAAGGATGGAAATAGCAATCATATGGGGCTTGTGGGCTTGTATGGGGTCAGCGTTCCCGCTGCCAGCCAGCCACTCACGGGTCTCGTATTAGCATCGCTCTTTGCGCTCTCCGCGGCTCGTCTCGTTATTTATTGCCCCTTTCGGTCACTTACCTTTTCGGCTCAGCTGCCAGTGCAGAATCTTTCTACCGAAACAAACTGCCAGATACAGGCTACTTCCCTAGTAGAAAAGAAACTTGACTCAGTCCCACGGATTCAGAGCAGAAACTTCCAGCGTGATTGGACCTGGGAATGAACCTTTTCCCCCCGCCTTGACAGCTTCCTATTGCTTCGTCCGACGCCTTCTTCCTAACAACCAAAGAGACCCACTTGCAGCTTGGGCTACATGACATTTCTGGCGGCGAGCTCGGCGGTTCCAAGACGTTCGAAGGTATCCTCTGACACAATTTCTCCATCGTGGGTGATCATATTTCGTACATAATGCAAACAAATCCCGCGGTTGCCAGTGCCGGAAATCTGGGTCTGCGCAAGTGACTTGCCCGAACAAAATGCACGCGAGATGCATTTATGTCCTTGAGCGGAAGAAACGGATCGCCAGAGCATAATTTGGATGGCGGGCTCGACCGGGAGCCTGACTCTGTCGCTTTCTCGCGTCTGACCGAAAGATCCGGCGACTTGTACTTGTCTGGACACAACGTGTACCATTGGGTACAGAACGTACTGCTGAAGTCAGTATCACAATGGGGAAGACTAGTCTGCGACCAGCCAAAAGAGGTCGTTTCCATGACAATGTAGTTTCGGGGAACAAATCACAAATCTGATCTCACGCACTTCCACTAAAATCGACATTGCAATCGTAATGTTTGGTCTGACAAGAACACCCCATGTTTGAATGGTCACAAGCATGCCACGACTGCTGTCCCAGACTGAGGTGATATCATTCATTCTGTAGATAAAACCAAAGCAGGGGTGATCGCGGAACAGACATCTGATGTAGCCCAAGCAGGTCGTTCGGCATTGCACAGTCATAAACGGGATCTTTAGGAAATTCCCTCATGGATCCTCCAAGGTAGCACAGTCTCCTCCAAGCAGGGAAAGACGACATGGGAGCCGCAGGGCCAGATGCCACATCAATGCCAAGGCCCAGCTGAGAAGTGCTACTGTCAGGGGATCACCTCTGGCCAACATAACGAGGCTGCGGAGGATGTTCTCCATCCGCCGTCGGGTATCTAAGAAATGAAACACCATAAGCAGCACTGGGGCAGCAACCGGAAGAGGCATGGCCAAGATTCTGTTGCTGACTGTTTGTGGGGATTCTTTAGATAAAGGAACGGCCCCGTAAGTTCGAATGTGCGTGTCGAGCAGAGGTGACTGGCAACAGGAGAGACTTGACCGATTTGAGTCTGAGCTTGGGATTTGGTATTGCTGTTTCTTACTCGTTTGCCATGTCTGCCACGACTTCAAACGAGGGGCCATTCAAGGAAGGTCTTAGGACATCAGGCGGTGCAGTTTCCATGTTTTGCGTTGCTTCAAGAGTGGAAAGGAGGCGATGCTCCGCTGAGGAAATGGAGTCCCGAGATTCCCCGCGAGCTCTGATACATTCCGTGGTTGTCTCCCGCACGCTGGTACAGATTGCTTCCAGCTTGTGTGAGAGTGACTCGTTCAGCTGTGCAGACTCCGCACGATTGCGTTCAAATGCGAGACTGAGGCGGGCGTTGATCAGTAAACTGGTTCCCCATTCGACGTGGGCGCCTCACGGGAGTGCATCGAGCAACAGTGCATTCATAGAACCCATGGAGCGTGTGACAGACTCCCCGAACACTTGTTCACCTTCAAAAGCCCAAGAAATCTCTTGGACCAGCGATTGCAATCTGCGTTTCGTTCGTTGATCATCGATCGAGGAAGATAATCGGTTCCCTCTCTTCTTGCGGAGCACTCGTCTTCCCTGGAGGTTTCTTCACACGCTTATGGATGCTCGCTTTGTGGGGTGATGCATCGTCGGGTGTAGCCAGCACAAAATCTTCAAAGCTCTGAAGTGCTCGACTGTAATGGTCACAGACTGCTGGGGCTTCACGAAACCGTTCCTTCGAGCCTCCCTCTGCTCGGATCGCCTCATACGTTCTTTTTGCTACCCGCACCCCCGTTGAAAAACGTCTGACAGTGAGACACCAAATAAAAACATTGGAAGGAAAGAGCTGGGCTATAGTACGAAAAGACACTTTCGATAGAACTCAAGAGGACAAAGCAGTGGGAACTACAGCGAGCTGAGCGAAGAGAGGAGCATGGCGAGAATAAGGCTGGGAGGGAAGTAGTCGCAC